GTATAACAGGAATGACCCTTACGTTTTTGAAAGACATTGTTTAAAGACATTCTTTTAACTCATTCAAATAGCTTCACCTCATCAAAACTTAAAAGACCAAAGAAGAGAGACCATAGGCTACACACATCACACAAAAGACCCCAGGAGGAGGTCTCTTAAAGGGTTAGTTCACCCAAAAATGAAATTATGTCATTAATTACTCACCCTCGTGTTGTTCGAAACCCGTATGTGGAATAAAGTCGTTATTTTTGTTTTCTTTGCGCAAAAAAGTATTCTCGTAGCTTCGTAACTTTACAGTTGAACCACTGATGTCTCACGGACTACTTTGTCGATCATCTTGGTACTTTTCTGGACCTTGAACGTGGTAGTTACCTTGCTGTCTATGGGAGGGTCAGAGAGCCCTCAGATTTCATCAAAAATATCTTAAATTGTGTTCCGAAGATGAATGAAGGTCTTACAGGTTTGGAACAACACAAGGGTGAGTAATTAATGACAGAATTTTCATTTTTGGGTGAACTAACCCTTTAAGAGGAAAGTTAAATCAGTTTAGCTTAGAATTAGAAGCAGAAGGGTCACTTAAAGGAAATACTCTTACTCACATAAACATACAAAATATGTTCACACACACATTCCCAGGGTAAGTGATCTTAGATGCTTGTAATATTGCCTGCTCTCCTTTTTCATACAGTAAAAGAGAGAGGAAGCAAGAAAGAGAGAGTGATAAGGATGGAGGAGGTATGAATAAGAGCTGAACAGAAACCAATTATATCAAGAGTATAACAATATTTACTAATAACAAACACACACACTCATAGAGCCACACTCAGGATGGCAGATGCTCCTCCGAGTCTCCGTCAGGTAGAGGCAACTCAAATGCAGCGGACAGAAGACAGTGAGTATCTGTTTTCTTCTGCCTCTGCAAACTCAAATTCATTTCATGCATTGCAGTGCACTTTTTACCTGAGAAGTCTATAAAATAAATCAGTAATAATTCAATCTTATTCTATGATAATCTTTATTATTTGCATTCAAACATTATTTGTAGTGATGTTAAAAACGGTCCGTTCGGTTGTACTTGTTTACTGTAGTTCTGATTGTTTATTCATATATTTGGTCTATTTTATGCTTATTTTTAATTTGATGGTACTGTAATTCTATAAATTCCATTTCCTATTGTTTATTTATTGTTAGTTGATAAATAGCAATAAAGTTTTATACCAGACATACATCTTTATTTTACTTTTTATACTTGTTTTTTTACATTAGTTATTAAAATTAAAGAGCATTAACATGTAATAAATAGCTCATTAGTCTTGTTTATTATTACATTTTAAATATACTATTGTTTTCATATTTAAATTCACAATGGTCAAGTTGTTGGATTTATTCTCCGATTGAGATGCTGTTTGGACATGGTGCTTTTTACTTTAGAGCACGACCTTAAGCCACTGTCAAATTAGCCTGAGAAAAAGAAATAAATAGAAACAGGGTGAGAAACCGAGACAGAGAGAGAGAGAGAGAGGCTGTTTTATTTGATTGCTTTTGTGTGGGTGTGAGTGAGGCAAAAGAAAAACTGCAGAATGTTATTTTTTCACCTTTCTCAGCTTTTCTGTGGACTTCTTCGACTTTTGTGATTACAAATGATGAGGCAGATTATTCCACACACACACACACACACACACACACACACACACTTTGTCTTTCCAAGGCTACGGTTTCTGTACTTTCTGTAGATGTTGGATGTCAGCACACTCATTCGCCTGGCTGCATTCGTTCCACTCGTTTACCCCGCAGGCTTTTACCCCTGAACGCTGTAGGAACACTTCAGCAGAAGCCTCTTGGATAAATTTTTTGCTGCAATGACAGGGCCTTCTGTCCAGATGTACTCAAGCACTCAGCAGCGCAGTGACCAAAGGGCAGCAGTTAAACATGACGTATCGCATGAACCCTCACTTCACTTCAGATCATTAAATGCAACACAACAGGACATTTTGACATCACTGCAGTGGAGTATTTGTGAATCTCCAAAGAATAGAGAGATAGGGAGAGAGATGCTTCAGTTTTCTGACCTTTGGTGTCAGCTCTCATTATATGAAAAGCTTTATTTAGTCTGCCCGACACCTTTGTGTTACTCTCTTACACACACTCATACACTTAAGCACAGAAAGATTTCTTGTAATTTTACCAAGAAAAGGATGGTATCAAATGCTGCAAAACACCATTTCTACTTAATCTGTGTAATAATATGATTTCTGCTGGTGTAATCTAGTGTATATGGTTTAATATTTACAGCAATATTTTTCTTATATTTTAGTATTTTTATTTAAAAAAATATACCAATCATACTATATTATAACAGTTCACCTATGAAAATGAAAAGTTGCTGAATATTTACTCACCCTCAGGCCACCCAAGGTGTAGATGAGTTTGTTTCTTCATCAGAACGAATTTAGAGAAATGTAGCATACATCACTTGCTCATCAATGTATCCAATGGGAGCCGTCAGAATGAAAGTTCAAAAGTTTTCAGCAAATTTTTGTGAGCTATTCTTTTAAGCCTCCTTAAACCTTAAAGCAGCTAAAACTAGCAAACCAGTAAGGTTAAGGAACCTGACAAAGATGTTTTGCAGGGAAAATATGATTAGAATTAAAGCATCTGTGTTGTGTGAGAAGTCTATCATTTTCTCACAATTGCTCAGAATGTCTTCACTGCTGTTTGGAATCCCACAGTATAAAAATCTTTCTTGAAACTTGCGGTGAGTGTTAAATGAAGATGTGTCTGCAGGAATTAAATGTGAGAGAACATTGTATTTTTATTTTATTTTTTTTACTTTTTAAAAAAAAATCTTTTCAACATTTTAAATTCAGGTTTCAAGATGTTAGTATTAAGAGATGGAAGAAACTGTGTGTTGAAGTAGAGTATCTTTTCTGTTTGGTTGTGTATTGCTACCTTGTTTCGCTTTTCCTGACTGCCTCATGATTAATGTAAATTCTAGATGATTAATTGTAATAGACAATATATTGATAGGATATTGAGGAATCCTGTATGATCAGTTTTTTGCTCTTTGCTCATTTTGCGCTTGTTTAGTTACATGACCATTAGAGGGCGACATAGATCCTCAGTGTATCCTATTCAGACACACGAGACGCCGATTATTTACCACTGAAGAACATTGCAAACACATTTCCTTGTAAAAATGCGTAGGTAATTTCGTTTCATAATACTTATAAAGCTTATAATTTCATTCGAAGCATTTCTGCATTAGCCCAAGATCTACTTTCCTTAATCAATTTTTTATTATTAATATTATTACACAAAGAGTGTATCATGACTCAGTAGCAGTAGGCTATTTGATCTGTTTTTCAGTAATGAAGTACGCACACATTCATGTTGTTGCAGCTAAAAATGAGAGATGTGCTTCAAGATTGGGACTGACAGCAGAAGTCAGTCTTGGCTCTTAAACATGCCTATTTCAGCAGAGACACACATCTGATGTTAGAAATATTACGAAACCTTTGCTCTGAACCAATCTTCTTCTTGTTTATAGTCTCTTTGACAGAGCATTCAGTGACATTTATGTCGTCGTCCTCCCTGTCAGTGTTGTTTAGATTAATTAACATGCATCTGTTAAAGCTCTCTAAAAGATAAGTGGTATAATTTCTCTCAAGCATCTGCCATCAGCTAATGAAATGCTTAGAGCTGTAGTGGTTTGTAACCCTCATACAGACATGAGAGAAAAATTTAGATACTGCTTTAAAAATGATCTTTTAAATTGGTCTTGAAAGAGAAAGATTTTCTCCCTGTTTGTCTTTATGCGTGTGTTCGGGTCTGTTTTTAGGTTCAGATCCACTTTTAGACTATAAAAAACAATGAGAGGATGACAGTGAAGGGTTGTGGTAGAGAAAGATGACTCCAAAGGCAATAATGTCTGTCTGTATATTTATGAACTGATCTCTGAGCGATTCAGAAGATGTTTTAGGGTGTGATCAATCCTGACCTGTGAGCTGCTCCTACAGTTGTACAATTTAGATTTATATTTTAAGTCTTTCAATTTATATGCTGGGAAATATTACTGCCTGTCATTGTGTGTGAATTTGTTCTTGCGTTCAGTAATATATGAGCAGGTCCACATAAAATATTTTATTTATTAATGCCTTCACACACACACACTCACGTGCAAAGTCTGTCCTTACTGTTTATGAAACATTTTAGTGTTTTAGTATTTCAGAAATATTGTCATCTGACTTAACTGAATAATTTGTAACTGATGTACATATTATGAATTGAAAATAAATGTGAAGTATTAAAAAAATATAAAAGTATGAACGGATAAAAATTAATATGTTTTAAGCAATACAGTTGATATACCATTGACTGGAGCAATTTTATAGTTAGCAAGGTTAAGTATTTTTAAATAAATCTAATCATTGCTAAATGTAATTTAAAAAATAATAATTTTTTTAATATCATTTTTTAAATGTTTAAATCCATTCCACAAAATTCTGATATTTTCCTCCAAGATCAATAATAAAATATATCACAAAAAAATGCATTCCGAATCAGACACTTTCATTATATCAAGAAAAAAATAAAAAATACAACATTTCAGAAATGCACATTGTTCCACTCAAAGTCTTAAGCATTCTAACAAAGTGAGGGTCAGTAAATAATGACAGAATTTTATTTTTGGGATGAACTGTCCCTTTAAGAATTCACAATCTCATTGTGACACAAGGAGATTCTGCTACTGGCCTAGATGCACTGCTCATTAAAGCATAACTTAATTTAAAACTCATTAAATTAAACAGAAATTAAATCCTAATTAACTTCAACTCAGTCTAAATGGAAAACTGATCACTCAGGGACTGTCAGTGTTAATACTGCCGTTCATTATATTGTGGCTTCTCTTTATCAGCTACAGTATGCTATAACTGTGTATGAATGTCCATGTATGCTTGTGCTCCTGCAGAGGGTCAGCTTCCTTTGTATGAGTGGAGAAAGAATCTGGAAGATGAAGAGCAGGCATCACTGCTTATCAAAAGAGAAGCACTTCAGAGAGCCATGACACTCATGACACACCTGCAGCTCAATGCACAGGTACAGCCAATCATGTTCCTTTATGTCAATTTCATATGCAATATTACTATACACACACTGCTGTTTTTTAATCAGAAGCAATCAAATGTGACAGCAGAAATGTATAACTTACAAATATTACAAAAAGTTTACATTTGAAATAAAATTGTCAAAGAAGAATCCTGAAAAAAATCGTTTATATATATATATATATATATTCTCAAAAAATGCACAGGAGAATGTTGTTTTGGTCAGTGTGAAAGTGTTCCAGTAGGTGTGAGTATGTGTGTGGTTGGACAGACAATTTCCCTATCCCATCTGCTCCTCCTGGCTGAATCAAACCCTGATGAGCCGAAACCTCCCCCCTTTCCCAGACCAGAGATCCATCAGCCAACCTGCCACTCAAGGCCTAGGGGGGGCTAGAAATGATAATGTTGTTGCCGTCTTCCTGTCTTCCTTCTGCAATTTTTAATAACCCGAAGCACACGTTCACATCTCACGCCGTTCCCTCACACATAAACACATTTATTTTGAGTGAGCTTTTAATAGGGTTACAAAGTTTATCGTAACTTGATGATTAAAAGCCTTGTCGATTCAAGCCTTGCGCTACACATTAATGACCCTCAGTACGAATCAGGGCTAGACGGGACCTAGCAGGGTCCAGACTAATCTCGCCAGTGAGTCCCTGGGGATCTGAGAAGGTCTGCAAGAGTCAATTTGCTATTCCTCATCAAGCCTAACTCACCACACACATACACATACACACACCCACTCTGGTCAGTTTGCTCAGGCCCAGCTGGTTCTCAGAGGGCACATGTCACAAATGACTAACGTATCCCATAATGCCATCTGCTTCCGATATCCCAGAAGGCCTCCAACCAATCAGAAACACATGGTCACCAAAGAAACACCTGACTGACATTAGAGGGCCGGATGTTACCACGGTGATGAGCCCAGCTCGGATGAGTGCTTTAAACTCCACAACAAATAGTTTTAGTGGTTGCACGCATATGTGTGAGGTTTGTGTTTAAGAGTCAGTTTGGGATCGGACAAGATGCTTAGTAAGTGTCTCGATAGGTGTGCGTGAGGATCTGACTGGGCTATTGTGTCTGGATGTGCAAGAGCTACATTAATTGTCTCTCCTCTCCTCATTTTCCTGCCCAGCAGAGCGGAGAGAGAGAGAGAGACGGAGAGAAAGGGAGAGGGCAAAGGACAAGGGAGAGGAAGATTCAGAGGGGCATAAAGAGAAGAAGACAAAGAAAACCAGAGGAGATTAGACAAAATGTGCAAATAAGAAAAATGGGATCTCATTCTTTCTCTTAAATCTTATTACAGCAAAGCCAGAAAGTAGTAATTAAAATTAGCATGATGAAAAACTCAGATTCTCAAATAGTGAGGATCCTTCATATCTATAAAATAGCTGCTGGATGAGCGATCCTGAAGGTCTGGCTCTGGGATTTGAAAGTATTTAAAGGGATAGTTTCCTCAAAAATGAACATTTTGTCATCATTTACCCACCCGCATGTAGTACCAAACCTGACTTTCTGTGGAACACAAATGCTATTTAGAAAATTTAAAAAGCATTCTTCAAAATATCTTGTTTTGTGTTCCTCAGAATTAAGAAAGTTTGGAACAACATGAGGGTGAGTAAATGATGACAGAATGTTCATTATTTGGTGAACTGTTCCTTTAAGTGTTGCAGTTGTTGAAGTACTGAAGAGGTCAATGGAAACAGTCTCTCCACAAGGGATTTTCGGTGCTGTTTGTGACTGACAATAAACACATTGAGGGAGACAGCTGAATGTCACCCTTGCACACCACTCTGACAGCAGCCTGGAGGAAGTGATGTCATAAACCGAGGGAGGTGTTGTCATCCGCTCTAGAATACAAGCTGAATGCATGTGCTATATCTCACACAGTATGTTGCTTACCTGCAGTTACATGTTACTGCCTTTCTCTTTAATGCGTTTTTCTGCTTGATTTATGAATTCATCCAGCAGTTACTTACAGTTGGTGGTCAGCATCATGCTCCTGAGAGGGGTGTGGTCTGTGAGGTCATTGGTCAGGAACGTGGGACTAAATTAACCCAGAAAATAATGGACTTGGAATGAAATACTGTCTCATTGCTTATACTGAATATCACAGTAAACTTGCTACTATTTTTTGTTCAATGGAACACATTAAGATGCAGCCACATTAGCGAAATTTCTGCAAAATTTTGCCGGCAAAAAAAGGTCCATTGTCCATTGTCAATAGAGTAGTGATGCATGAAGCACAGCTCACACAACGTCACTTTCAAAGCAAAGCTGTTGTAAAATAGTAAGAATAGTATACAGACATTTTATATTGAACATAGTCAAGGTCACAAGAACAAAGCCAATTCAATGGCAGCTATGTTTAAAAGTCAGCCTTTCACTAAAAGCAGGTAATATTGAACAGTCATCCCACTGGAATAGCTTTAACAGAGTGATGTATGTTAAGAGGATGTTGTCAGATGGTTTCTGTCTTTGGGTGTGGTCAATAATCTTTTAAGCCAAGCCTCACAGAGTTTAACATTACAACATACACGATTAACATAAAAGAGAGAATGAGCAGATGATCTATTGTGATTCCACCCAGATATGACAGGACTGACCGCAGTCAGGAAACTCACATTAAAGTGGAATCATTTTGTTTATACCGAGGAATGAAGAAGAATACTTTTCTGTTTAGCAGGAAGTAGTGTAAAGGGGATTTTTGAAACGAGTCCTTTATTTCCTTGGCCTTGGTTCACAATAAAAGCTTTTGAACGTCCTTACACACTCACACACATTCGTACCATTCTCCCAAAACCACACTATTCTGCCAACTCGGAGATGATTGAGGTGAAGAATTTGAGTGGGTACATTGGAACAACACATATGCTTTTTCTCTTCCGGTCACATGCGTACTGTAGACCATGTTCTATTCAATTCAATTCACGTTTATTTGTATAGCACTTTTCACAATACAAATCGTTGCAAAGCAGCTTTACAGAAAATTAAAGTTTCATTATTAGTAGTAGCTTATCAGTGGTGACTATGTCAAGCTGATGTCCATATGGCAGAAATGTACAGCAAAAATCATATAGTTAGTTAATGACATGTAATCAAACAGACGGTGAACACTATTAACAGCAATGATTATATGTTGCGATCAAACTTATAGCAAAATTTGGTAGTTTTGTATGTTGTTTGAGGGTTGGCATCATCTGTGGTCCTCTGACGGGTCGGCATCATCTCTTCTCAGGTGTTTGGTCATCTCAGATCATTGTAAGGGCTGGATCCAGACTGAAGCTTGTGTAATTCCTACAGTAGTTAGTTACCTCGGGATGCCAATCCCGTGGCAGAAAAAGCAACATTAGCATAGCTGATGTTCAAATGACAAGCAAAAATGATGTGTTCAACCCAAGCAAAAGAATGATAATGTGCATTTGATCAGATATAACAGAAGTACAAGGTTATGAGATACATTATATGAATGCTTGGCTAATTAGATGAGATTTACCGCTGATTACAGAACCGGCTTTTCTGACAAGATGCGCGTTAAATATCGCATGCGATTTATCGTGCAGCCCTAGCTCCAACCCTAATTAAACACACCTGAAGCAGCTAATCAAGGTCTTACTAGGCATACTAGAAACTTCTCGGCAGGTGTGCTGAGGCAAGTTGGAGCTAAACTCTGCAGGACACCGGCCCTCCAGGACTAAATTTGGGCACCCCTGCTATAGGTACTACCAAGAGTCCAGAGTTTCACGATGGATTGTAGCGTGATAGAAGACTAGTTAGGTATACAGGAGCTAAACCATTAAGGGCCTTAAAAGTAAGTAGTAATATTTTGTAACTGATATGGAACTTAATATGTCTCACAAAAACTTAATATGACTCACAGAAACTTTGAATGTGTCAACATTATCTCTTCTCCCTCATAGATACAGTCTATTAATTCATACCTAGCTTGACATTAATAATAATAATAATAAATGATTGTGGGAGAAGTATGAAGTAAGTTAATGAGTGAGGATGAGTGTCACACAAGACACATATAAAAACCTTCGAAGCTATTACGGTCTTGACTGTGTCTCACAGACAATATTTTTCACATTAAGATAATGATATTTACCATATCTTACCCTTTAACCCTATGCTCACCATATTAGATTTAAAGCAAAGCTTCATTTGGTAGATTTATGAACCTTTCAAACAGTGAAGAACACTTCAAATGTCCTCACAAGTAGGTGTTCTAAATGTTTTAAGATATTTATGAAGACATTTTCCAAATGTGGCCTTCAGAAGTGTAGACAAACCTGTACGTGTGCACACACAGAAAAAATATGCACATACTGCATGTATTCACTCAGTCGAACAGGCCTATATATTAAAATAAATATGATATATACATTAGGCTAAATAAAAATAATAAATCAAAGATGATTTTGAAAAATGCTAATTACTTATTTGTGAAGTGAAAAAAGAATGAAAAAAGCAAATTATTGGTTAAAAAGGTAACTTATTAAAAATAAAATAATTAAACATGTTTATTTACTTATTCATTTATCCCCCTTTAAAATAACGTTTTTAAATAAATACGTTTAATTAAGATGCAAATGGCACGTTTCTTTCGATAGGTGCCCTCCTCTTTTCTTTCTCAGATGGTACAGTCCGTTTAAAGAGCCGCTCGGAGTCTCTCGTGCGTTGAACTCTCTCCACGAGAGCTCGCGGCAGAAAGAATCGTTTAGTGAAGCACGTTGTTTTATTCTCTCTTTACAGACTCTGTCTTTCTTTCTGACAGCCACATCCGAACATTAGACAGTATGGGACTCTAAATATCTTTTCTCACCTTGTGGATTTTAGGGGATTTCTGCGCTTATAAAATAGAGGACAGACAGAATGGGATTTTAGTGTGCTTTATGATGCAGCAGGCGATATGACTCGCTCCGTGGGTTCCGTGGATTCTCCCCGCAGGCGAAGATCCGGAGAATGATGGACGAGAACAAGCAGCTCGCGCAGCGGATCGATGGCGCGATCCAGTGCGCGAAGCAGGAGGTGGCGAACCTGCGCGCGGAGCTGACAGCCACCGGCCACAGACTGGCGGAACTCGGCGAGCTGGAAGAACCGGGCGAACCGCAAGGACACCAGCTGCAACAACAGAACCATCACGGTAAGGAACCGCACCTGTGAGTCTGTGACCGCTCATATCGCTTACCTGTGTGACCTTCGAGTGAATGGCAGAATAGATACAAACTCTCACTTCCTCCGATTCATTCCAGTGGGTTAGTAAGGTGACTTTTTGTTTTTTCAGTTTCCACAGCTGGTGTTTCAGGACAGTTTTTTAGTATGTTTTTGTGTGAACATATCAGAATAATTGTGTTAAGAAAAAGAGTGTTCATATTCATCAGCAAGCTTTAGATCTGTATCAGAAATGAACTTTTTATTATTGTAAGACATATTTCCCCCCCACTGAAATGTTTGACCTTTTTGATGGCATTTTTTCTAACAACAGTTAATTCAGTTAATTAAAATGGTACAGTGCCAAAACCCATGTGTCGGTAATATTATGAAATGTTACATAACCAATACCACAAATTCACTGCAGTGTAAATCTAGCCTCAATGTTGTGAACATCTCTGCATTTTTCTCACTTTTAGATCTTTCCCTTGCTTTAATAAGACTATATCCACAAGATAAACTGTTTTACTGACAACCCAAGTAATGTAATCGAGCACAGCTCGTGTTTCAGGAAATGGCCCTTCATTTTATTTTCCATTAATGCCTTCAGACTAAGTGTACCACACTATAGAAAGGCTCTCCTGCTGTTCTGTGTGCTGTTGTAGCCGCCATTGATTGATTGGTCAGTCTTGTGATTGTCTCTAAGCTGCGTGGTGTAGCTCGGGATGGCTTCTGTTTGAGTCCCTTGGGTGATCAGAGTGAGTATCTGTTTCTGATCCACCTGCGCTCACTGGGTGGAGTGGCCACCCTGGGCTGGTTTGGGTCATAACATTTAACCGATGCTTTTTATCCAAAGCAACCTACTGTATGCCAGAGCCACCCTTGGGTTGTGTGCCTTGCTTAAGGGCACAATGATGAATCATGATTGTGATTTCCATAATTACTGAACAATCTCAGATAATTACTGATGAACTAGATGTGCCCTGCAGTGACAGTGAAGCTTTGCTTCACCTTAGAAACATGCTGCCATCAATTTACACTTCTATTCTTAGATAATCATACAAGGTTAGTCTGTGTGTTTTTTTTTTGTTTTTTTTTTATTAGCACAAATCCAACTTGCACTGTAAAAAAAAAATGCAGTAAAAACCTGTTAATTGACTAACTGTAAGTTGCTGTAAAACTGTAAATGTTTTGATATCACTTACGTAATTTTACTGTAAAATACTGTCAAATTTGTGGTTTTTGTAAGTAAAAACTAAATTTTTGTATATATTATGATGCAAAACAAGGAAATGTACATTCCCAGTAGTCACTGCATGACACATCATATATTAACATTTTTAACATTGAATGTCTGGCAACCACAGCTGCTGTATTTTTGCTTAAATTTAACAGGATATTTTTAGTGTTCTCTTATTATACTTGATTGGTCATTTGTGGTGTTCTCTTTTTTTATATTTATTTCTAAACTGTATATTTGACCCTTGTGTATGCCAAGAAGTTATTTTATATCTCTTTATTTATTTATTTATTTATTTATTTATTTATTTGGTAAGTGGTCGTATAACAAGTGGGATAATGCAAAATCAGCCAGTAGTTATTGCAAAACAAACCCCTTCAGAATAAATATTACAGGATGTTTAATTTGTGATGATGCCGGCTAACTGTACATTATGCATTACATACATTGCTGCTATATAATAACTTATAAAAAGAACAGTAATCTTTTCATTCCTCATCATTTCTCAGTAGAAATCCATCTCATAACTGCAGATGAATTCTGACACTCAGAGGATCACTGTGAGGCTCTTGCCCGCAGCTCTCTCTGATTTAATTCAGCACTTCATTGAGAGCTCAGCAGATTGCGATCTTGTGTCTTAATGTCCCACATCCACTCCAGGAAAGGCACTTTTCGGCCTCGAGTTTGGCTTGCCAAGTCACTTGATGCAATTTATTTATGTGTTCATTTATGCATTTGGCAGGCACTTTTATCCAAAGCGGTTTAGAAAGCATTCAGGCTATATATTTTATCATTACATGTATTTCCAGGGAATCAAACCTATGACCTTGACGTTGCTAGTGCCAGTTAAGCTACAGTATTTCAGTCTGGCGAAGCTGTTTTCATCTAATCAGGGACTTTGTTGTTGCATTTTGCCACATGTCAGAATGCAGGATGTGTGTATTGACAAAATAATGACTTATCAAGATGGAAAATCACACGGACACATGCGCCCAGACATGGGCCTGTCGGTGTAGATGAGAACAGTGCTTATTTATCTCTTGGAAGAGAGAATAGCAGTGCAGATGGCCCTACAAAGACCTGCTGCTAATGAATGAGACACTAAACGCATACAAATAAACACGCGCACACACACAGTCTTGGCTGCTTGTAGTTAATTTCTCAATTATGGCATTGTATCTACATTAACTATGGGTTTTTATGGGATTTTATTTGCTTAAAGATGATGTTTATGTAGCGTATCCACACTATAGTCAGAAGAGAATGGGTCTAAGTGCACTTGGCCATATATCTGACTTATGTGATATTGATGTTTCTAAATTGCCTTAATGGCTTGGCTGCATAATTGTTTTGATGTAACAGCTGTCGGCTGCCACGCACTTAAAAATCTAGCTATTTCTGTTTATGGGAATTACACTTGCTTATACGTTTGAGAATGAGTTAATTAGTTATGATAAAGCACTAACCAAGTAATTGCGCTTCTTAGTAAATCTTGAGAGACAATGCCAACAGAAGGTTGGCTCCATACAGGTGAGCTTGTGTTCATCTTAGATTATGTCATAGGGGCTGTTCAAGTTTGATTTCCCTATCTATCTGTCTCTAGGCAGCAGTGTGGGTTGCTAGGCAATCTGCTCTCATTATGACATCACAAAGGGGAGGACTGATAATGCAGCTAAAAGCTTTTCTCCTTTCTCTCCATATACGCTCAGACAGACTCCAGCTGATCAATGCTTTTAGTTTATCCTACTGACATTAATGAGCTATTAAGCGGGTCATTAGCTCTTCAGATTTCGATTATGTTGCGTTGTATAAAAGTGATTATATTTTCATAAGGGTGTTTGTCCATGTGCTTGTCTATCTGTTATTAAAATGCTAAATAAATCCAGTTGTTTGTATCTCAGCAATAGACAGGTGTTATGTATATGTGTGAGCGCGCTGTAATGGGAGCCGGCTGAAAGCAGTCCTGATCCTGATCCCTCAGACGTGTGAACTGCCTAATTTAAATGCAAGGCAAAAGATGAAACATCTCGACATATATCCACATCAAGCCTCTGGATTGAAGCAGTCAAGAGCTCAGTTCGCTCATAAAGACCATTTCCACGCTCGGATCAAAAGGAATCACCATAATTTAAGATGTAAGGCTTTAAATGGCACTAAAACGGCATTAAAGGTCAGGCTAAATCACCACCATCAAGTTAGAGACAGTTCCGGGCTCAGTTTTAATCTAATATTATTAGACATATGAGTAGGATGTGCTCTCGACTAATCCATGATACCTAATTCGCTCACTTTATTTGATCCTGCTCGAATTCCTGATGGTGCTGACGGATGTTTCACCTGGCCTGTGATTCCGGCTCCTTTCTTGGAAATGATGGTAATTTAAAGTGAAGATGAAACGGAACTATCAACAAATCTTTTCTTCCATTTTATGAGGTACATCCGAATGTAAACGGATTACTGGAAAAGAAATAATGTAGCATGAAGACTGGTTCTATGCATCGGTTGCTGCTTGGGTTTTGAGATGTGGGCATTGCACTCAAAATTGTAGGCAGATGAACGCAAGCTTGCAGAGGTGGGTTTAAGTGGTCTAAATGATTAGAAAAGTCCTGGAGTCAATAAAAAAATGAAACGTATAAAGAGATGAATTGTTCACAATAAATCTAGAACATGCAATTAAAAAATAGAAAGAGTGAAATTTCATTTCATGCCGACTTTAACCTTTATTCACTTGAATAATGCAGATTCATTATTTATTTATTTTTTTAACTGATAATGGTGCCTTACTCTATTTTCTGATGATGTGGAGTCAATCTTGTCGATGTTCACTCCCTCTTACCTCACCAATGATTGTGACTCACTTATTTTCACGCCATAAAACAAGTGTGCTTAGTTATGACAATATGACTGACTCGCTCTTTCATTGCTTTAAAAAGTCTGGTTCACTTGTGTTTTTTACAGTCATTATTAAATAATCAGCAAAAAATTGGTCTTGCCCTCCTACTATTGACCAGACCGGTGAGTGTTTTGTATTGCTTTTTGCTGTAGCTAGCTCTTTTGCTGATTTGCCACTTTTGAGGTGCAGGATAGTCTTAGACCTCTGTGACGTTTCATGATTTCAAAGGGCAGAATTGCTAGTGATGTCATAATTCTTGAAAAATTGGCCAGACAGATGAATCAACGTGTATTTTGCCATTTTGAGATGATTGATCAAAATTGACAGTAAAGACATTTATAATGTCACAAAAGATTTCTGTTTTAAATAAATGCTCTTCTTTTGGAATTTTTATTTATCAAAGAATTCTGAAATGTGTGTGTATATATATATATATACAGTGGTGTGAAAAAGTGTTGGCCCCCTTCCTGATTTCTTTTTTTTTTTGCATGTTTGTCACACTTTATTGTTTCAGATCCTTTTACTAATATTTAAATTTGTTTTATGATCTGAAACATTAAAGTGTGACAAACATGCAAAAAAATAAGAAATCAGGAAGGGGGCCAACACTTTTTCACACCACTGTATGTTTCCACAAAAACTTTTTTCAACATTGATAATGAGAAATGTTTGTGAATGAAACTTGTGAATGACGCATAATCATGATTTTCAGTTATCATGATTTTCATTATTATTATCAGTAAATAGCTACCCTGCTCTCTAGATATTGGCGTCAGCTATAAGAACTCCTATCAGTCAATGGCTACCTAGAATATTATTGCTTGTTGCTGGTTTGATATGAAGGATTTTAAACGTATCC